CACACAGACACACAGCAGACCATTTTTCGGGACTTGGTCATTTCGACTCAGGGTACCTCAAAACGTCTATTTCCGTTGAAAACTCAGATTCAAAAATTTTCTCAATCGCAATACTTACCCCTACTATATATTACATATATACGTAAGTGAAAGTAATATGACATTTAGTTAATTTCTTACACACTAGATTACTTCAATATTTATTGTGTGTTTATTTTTTCTTAAAAAGCTCATTTCAAAGCTGAAGTGTCATTTATAGAACAAGATTTTTTTTTTCATAAGAAGGCATGACCCGCGGAACTTGAACATGAACGCGAATGGAGGTCTCGATGCGGCCCGCGGGCCAAAATTTTAAAGACCCCTGATTTACTGTAAAGTCTGTACCAAGAGGCAATGGCAGTGATTGAGGCCTCCAACTACACATTCATATCTGAATTTTTTTCAAGATGGGATTTTTAGTTGTTTTTTTCTTCATTATCACCAAAATTTCTCGAATTTATTTGAATATCTCTCTACTTTTGTCACTATTTACAAAAATTAAAATGTTTTTTAAGTTAGAAACAAATTTGTCAGAAAATATTACTATCAAAGCACCCAATTCAAAATAAACAAGTAAAAATAAATTAATATCAAGTGTTTAGTAGAATTTCTCGCTATCAGTAATCGAGCTACGATCACGCAGGATTCATTGTTAAGGTAATGTATTATAGTTGGAGGAATAAAAGCAGTTATACCAAATTTTTACAGTAATATTTCACACTCAACCCTTACGTAAGAGATAGAAAAAACAGAAAAAAATACTAGATAGGTTGGCGTATTATATGTAGATACCTAAAGTTGTGTTTAGGCATTTCACAAACTATGCGACAAACAAATACGTAATTGGTTATTTTACTACGGTATTTAAATTTTAACATTTTATTGAGAAATATTACAATCTCTCTCAGTTAAGGACACTTATAATAGAGTTAAGAGAGTACATTCATACCGTATATACAGAAATAGAAATAAATAAAGTAATAACAAAAGAATAAGAAAAAAATAAAGAATCATAAAAGAAAATAAAAAAAATAATATAAAATATAATATATACACACAAGTAAGTAAAAATAGAAATAAAAATAAAACAGATATCTTAGATACAAGTATTCCTATATACACTATTTACAATCAGCCAGCTAATCTCCGAACCAATCTTGTCCCCTCCATATGTGGAGGGAAAAGCGAGCCTTTTACAACAGTATTATTTTTGTTTCTTATTTTTGATATATATCTGTCGGTATCAAGAGAAATAAAATAAATATTTTAATATCGCTACTAGTTAAGTTAGGTAATTTTGTTTCTCATAGTTTGTGATATCTAAACGCAACTTAATATTTAATGAAATACCAACTGGTTCTGAACGTTGGATATATGATTGGAAAGTTGATGAAATGTTGAAACTTTGTAAAATCTTCTAGATCGCTCGAATATTTTTGGAAATTTTGTTGAAATCCACAAGACCGCTCGGAAATCCATTGAGTATTTTCAAAAAGTTTTCAGTTTTACTTGTTTACTTTGCTTTGTCCGCAATGATCGCTTAAAGATATGGTCTTTTCCATGTAACATTATACAAATTGGAATCCATTTAATAGAAAATTCGTTACGAGATTACGAAAATGGTAACAGAAGTTGAGAACGTCTGTCTTGACTTTAAAATGGACGAAATCGCCCGAAACATCATCGAATACAAAAATTGAAAAAAAAAATTAAATAAAGTTTTTGTGAAGTACAATGGGTTATTAAAGGTGCTCCTCGAAATAATGAATTAAACCAAAATTATCAAGACATAGAACAATAAAGTTCCGTCAGTCGCACAAGCATGCCCTAATTTTAGGGTACATTTTTTTTTTTTTAATTTCTATGAATTGTTGTGGAGGAGTCATATCTGTATCTTGGTTATTAAAGGAAGGACATTATCCCTTTTAACAATTAATGTACACCCTTTTTTTCAGGCCAGTCTAATTGCAAAGTTGTGTAAATCGCCAGTTTTTATTTATTTATTTTTTTGTTCCAAGATGCAAATACATTTTCTCTCATATTTCTACATACTACGAATGTCCATACGGGCTAGATGATATACACTGACAGGCAAAAAATTCCACCGACTTCATTTTTCCATTTTTTCATCCATAAATATTTCTGTAAAGTTGTTGTTGTTTGTTGTTTGTTTCGATGTCTAGGCGCAAAACATCCAGGTCATAAGCGCCCGATCAACTAAATAACATCACTTAATACTATTTGGATGGTTGGTACAAAAAATAAAAATAAAAAAAAGGACAAAAAAAATAAAGAAATGGATTGATAGAATAAAATAAATAAATAAGGATAATAATAGACATTTATAGGTAATAAGATGTATAAAAAATGTATAAATAAATAAACTTTAAAAAATAGCAGTAGAATCAATAAAAAAAAAAAAAAAAAAAAAAAAAAAAAAGAGAGAAAATATAATAAAAATAAATAGATAAAAAGGAAATTAATAAATTTAAAAAAAAAGTCTGTCAAATGTGTTTTTTAAGTCTTTCACTATCCATAAACTTGATGACTTTGGTAACCATTTCTTCCTGATTTCCCAGGGACGCTGATATATTCCGGGGTATTCCAAAATCTTCTAATCTTGCGGTGTAAAAAGGGCATTCCTCCAAAATATGTCTTATAGTTAGTGATTGGTTACACTTTTGACATCGAGGGATAGAATCTTTTGTTATGAGGTGGAGGTGAGTCAGTCTAGTATGTCCGATCCTCAGCCGCGTGAGGACGACCTCTTCTCTACGACTGCTGCGTTTGGAGCTGGTCCACGGTTGCACCTCTTTCTTTATTGTTTTTAATTTGCTAGGTGCGCTGTTGTCCCACCGTCTTTGCCATTCTTGGAATATGGTTTCTCTCAGAGGTCGTGCAAGTTCAGATGGTGTCAAAAAAACTTTACCGCGGCCTGGAAGAGTAAGAGCCTCCTTTGCTGCTCTATCAGCCATTTCATTTCCTTTAATTCCTATATGGCCAGGCGACCAGATAAAATGTGCCGTTGTTCCAACTCCATGAAGCATTTTTATAAGACTTAGAATGCAGTGTATCCCTGGATGGTCTGGATACATGTTATTCATAGCTTTCAGAGTACTTAGGGAATCCGATACAACAACCACATTTGCAACTGGCTTCTTCATGACGTATCGGAGACTCATTGCTACGGCGTTAATCTCTGCTTCTGTAAAGTTGTATTTGTATATAATACATGGTATTTGTAGATAATACTTAGTATTTGTGGAATTTTATAATCTTTTTTACCTTTAATAATCAAAATGTGATCGGGTAAGAAAGATTAGAGAAAAAAAATTGAAAAACGAACCATTATTATTCTAAAAGAAATTAATTACACCATCGTTTAATAGCGCGTGTTTCCTCCTCTTGCCTTCACTACTTCTTGAAGAAGCCTCGGCATACTTTCCACCAGTCGGGAAATGTCCCTTTGCTGGAGGATAGCCCATTCCTCCCGAAGAGCCCTTTCAAGGTCCTGCAGTGTATCAGGAACTGTTGCACGCGCTCTTATTCGTCTTCCGAGGTTATCCCATAAATGCTCAATGGGGTTCAAATCTGGAGAACATGCTGGCTAGGCTGAAACCTCAATATTGTTCTGTTGAAGGAACGTCTGCACTATGCGACGACGTGTGTGCGTGCATTATCGTGCATCAGAATAGAACGATCGCCGATTTCGTTGAGGATAGGCAACACATAAGGTTCCAAAATTTCATCTACATAACAAATGGTCGTCAAAGGCCCTCCACGAACAACAACCAATTCTGTGCGGCGCTCCATTGAAATCCCAGCCCACACCGTTAAGGAACCAAGTGGAAAAGGTTTGCTCTGGGAAAAATTACAGGCTGCATATCTTTCGTTTCTTCTTCTCCACACCCTTCCAAGCCCATCTGGAGATCGAAGAGCGAATCTTCACTCATCTGTAAAAAGTACAGCACTCCATTCGTCCATAATCCAATGGCTCCGTGTTACTCTGTGAGTTGTGGTCAACTCTGGTCCTCTTATTGGACAAAAAGCCATTAATTCATACTCATTTAATCTTCTCCAAGCAGTACGTTCAGAAATTTGCACACCTCGAACTTCTTTGAGCTGATGAATCGCTTGAACAACGGTAAGGTGCCGGTTCCGTAAAATTCTCAAAGTCAAAAACCGGTCATCCCGTGGTTCTGTTACCCTAGGCCGTCCAGAACCGGGCCTTCTATTGTAAGAACCAGTTTCCGAAAACGCCTGACGGCGTCTCGTAAAGTTTCATATGGAACTCCGATGGCATTAGCTGCATATCTAATGGAACGTCCATCATCAATAAGTGCCACACCACGCGCAACATCCTCAGCACTAAGAGGCATTTTTAAACTTAATATTGAAAAAATTAAAAGCCGGAGACTAAGAAATGTGCTGCAAGAAACGGCACTGAACTAATGATACTGAATAAACATTTTGATTCCATAGAAAGTAAACATTGGAATCTAGAATCATTCATTGAATTAAGGATTAAGGGTTATTGTCCTCTATATTAACATTCCTAATTGAAAACAAACAAAAAGATTACCTATTTATCCATTAAAAACAATAGACCAATCCAAAGCAGAAATATTTTTAGATGAAAGCATGAAAAAATCAAGTGGGTGGAATTTTTTGCCTGTCAGTATATTTGTGTTTCAGATTTGAGATCGCTTTTTCTGAAGGATTACTGATCAATAATTATGTAATAATGTTCACAAACTTAGTAAATGCCAGCTGGGGATAGCTAGTAAAATTAGAAATCGATTCTGGAACCTGAATTTTGATCATGATGGATTAGTATATTTTTTACATAAAACCACCAGGATTGCTTGGGACAAGAAAAGGTAGCTTTTCGAAGAATAGTTCATATATATCAATAAAAGATAACCAAATTCAAAACTTTTAAAATAAATTTAAGATAATACCTCATCACTGGATACTTGAATAATGACATCAGCCAGTAATAGAAGGAAGAGAGGAGCGAATGGTAACATGTCAACTCTACTACTGACTGCGAACTGGAAACTTTCCAAGGTTGGGATTGCCTTTTACCATTAACAACACCAATAGTCTCCCACCCATAGATGATATTATTATTAATACATTTCTTATCAACTATTTTATGAACTTGTTAAGTCACGCTTCATTTATCTTTTAATTATTTGTTATTCATAATCCGTCTTTCTTCTGACTAATGAGTGAAAATCTGTTCCAAACGAAAGCTCTCAAGAACTAGTCAAGGTTAACTTAGACTCCAAACATCTAAGTCATTGGCTCCCGTAATAAAGTAATACTACTGCTAAAATATTTAGCTGGTAGTTACTGAAAGTAAAAATCATTGATGGTACAACATATTATTTAAAACAAATAATTACTACCTGTTTTTTCTCGTATAGTATATTAAATTTATACCTTTTTCGTTATTAACCATTTCCTTTTAAGAATGCATATTTTAATTTTTTTTTTTTATTAACGAAATTTACAACTGTAATTAATAATAAATACAACAAGTAAATATGAACAAGTAATATGGCATGTACAACATGAAGAGAAACTACCCATTGGTAGCACTCCAATTATATTTCTATATTAGAAGGTCCCGAGGCCATCTTCTTTTCAGACGCCTCGGAGGGTTATCAGGAATAGAAGAGGAAGCAAGGTTGGAAACGAGAGGGTTCGGATGGTTCAGAAGTTTATTATGAAAGGACAGGTATCTGGATTGAGCTAAATCGGAAACATGTGGTACATTAAGGTCATTATGGATGATTTTATTTGTGACAAAGTAGGGAGCATTAAGGATTTTACGAAGGATTTTGGATTGTAGGGATTGGATACGAGAGGAATTCGATGGTTTAGTAGAGCCCCAAAGCTCGATCCCGTAAGTCCAAATAGGCCTTATTATAGTAATATATATGAGTCTTTTGTAAATAGTTGGCAGTTTAGAGCGTTTGTCTAGTAAGTGCTGGAGTAGTCGGAAACGTCGGGCGGTTTCTAGTCGTTTCAGTCTGGTATGGGAGTTCCAAGTGAGTCGTTTGTCAAGGTGGAGTCCTAGGTATCGGATTTGGTCAACAGGGATAAGTGGGGTATTGTTAAAGGATACTGTAGGACAGGAAGTCATAGGTTTACGACGAAGAGTAAAGGTAATTTGATGAGATTTATTGGAGTTATTTTAATCCTCCAGTTTTGACATCATAATTATTTATTTAATTATAAAAAAATGATGTAAGTGCCACGAATTCTTTTTAGTCCGACAAGAGTGCCAGAAAGGAGGTCAGCTATTCATTTTATTTCATTGAGAGTATATTTTTTGTTTAAACACAGTCATTAGCAGATCCAGGATTTAATTTTGGGTAATATTGCGATAATTACTTTGGAAAAAAATAAAGAAACTAACTATATGTATGAAATGGTGTTTAGGTGATACTTGAAGTCCTATTAAATGTAATGACACGAACAATAATACTTTACGAGATAATTATTTTCCATAAAACAGTGTTTCATTTTACCATTTTTTTGGTGGGGGAGGGCTTCAGCCCGAAAGCTGTCTCCCCCCGTTGATGTGAATACAGTTATATATATAAATTTTAATTTTTATATTGCTGTAAACCGTAAAACCGTACATGTATATATAAATAATATTTTCGGAAAGCTTGAGGGCGCGCTCGGATTTCTTCGGCAGTTATTGGCTCCTTATTATGATCCCATTACCCCAATTTTGATCCCTCGATGCTATCTATTATTTCTCCTTCAGTTCATGATTAATGGTTTTCACTGTTTATATTTAACCATTTTTATTCATTGTCTGCAATGTGAAATAGCTACTTTTTTTAAACCAAACAAAATTAAAGGTACTTTAGAGGAAGAATTTTTGAAAAATCTACATTTACGATCTTTTGGAGAATATCAATGAGGATAAAACCTACCTATATTAAAAAAAACTTTATTGTGCATTAGAATAATGAGATTAATCAAAATCGTCAAAGCAATTTTTACATTTTTTTAATCGTAAAAATGTGTTAAATCGATGGTATAATAGACAACTGATTCTATAAAAAAGATTCGCTGTAACATCCCAGGCATATACAAACCTTAAATACTTAATTTATGTTTCCTATGGCTTTTCATTTTTGAGCTAGACTGTTCACGTGGCGCTCGCACTTACACACACAGACAATTTTGCGAGACTTGCTTATTTAAACTCAGAAAACCTCAAAACGCGTATTTCAGTTGAAAACTCGAATTTGAAAATTTTCACGTCTGCACTTCTTTCCCTTACTATATATTTCATATATTGGTAAGTGAATGTAAAAAAATAGGAGCCAGATAGCTCATTGGGTGAGCACTGACTTTCATAGCTCAATGTCCCAAGTTCGAATCTGGCTGATGACTAATAATTTTTCATCACCCCTGGGTCGACTCTGGGACCGGAAGACCTTCCTGGAGCAAACCTAGCCTCTATAAAGTTGGTACTCTTAATTAAATACTTAATTAAGGGGAGAAACCTGGCTGTTGAGCGTGAACCCGTCCCCTCCCTGCACAACCGTTGGCCTTGTAATAGTACTTCACATTGTACTGAACCCATAACCCTTCATGGATTGTTAGTGGGTGCAGCCGAGCTCTGCTCATACATTTTTGTTTGAAGAACAGATAGGAAGTGAACTGATTGGTTCATTAATGCTTCTTTAGGGAAACTGAATAGAGTTTTAAAATCAATTGAACCACAGAACTTCTTTCTCATGTTATGATTTTTTTAAAAATATAGTTTATTTTCGAATTAAATTTATCGATGATGAGGAAAAAAATTGAAACCCCAAAAGGCAATTCTCTAACAGTAACTCAGTCAACAATGTTTCAACCCTCTAACTCAATTTAGAACGGCTGTTGAGATGTACAACTAATCGGATTAAAAATGCCGACTATGAGAGAAAAAAGTATAAAAATGCAACAAACTAAGACGCCCATTGCTGGCCTTAGGGCCTAGTAACCCGAGAAATTGCCTTGAGGCTTCGTCCTGGATGGTGGCGCCCTCTACATGTTAAGAATTTTAAAAGAAGTTACAAAGCGTATGAGAATAATTAATTTTAGCCTACTAAGGCCCTGAACACCTTGCTCCTTCCTATTATTACTTGATTCTTTCGTTAAAAAATTTTCTTCGTGATAAACGTCACAAATCCGAAAGCGAAATAAAAATGCTTCACGAAGTATATTTTGCAACTATATCTCAACAATTTTTGAAAGAGGTAATAATAGGCTTACTGAGTTATGAAAGAACCAAAGCAGAACGGTTCATATGTAACATAATAAATCAACGTTAAATAACAAATACAAAAATCTGGTGCGCGCAACACACAACTTTCACTTACCGATCTACTATGAATAGAAATTATTTTCTGGCAATGCCGGGCTATTATAAATTTTTTTGAAGTGCATTTTAAACGGAGCTAAAGCTTAAAGCTTACAGATAACAAGTCATTAAGACCATTATAATTACAAAATGTCTATTTAATATATCGACGACAGGCAATAAAAACTTAGTCACTCCATCTGCTTTTATAAACCACACAACTTTCTTTGCTTCTATAAACCTCAGAATGACTAACTCCAATTTCAACATTTTTGAATGTTGTTATTTTAGTGATATTTTTATTTGAAAAAGTTATCTATGCAGACAATGGAGTAAGTTGGTTCCAGAGGTGGTGATTGCAGTGTTGAAATATAGAACTGAGAATAAAGGTATAAATTTAGGTACTTATTTCTTATGAAAAATGCTCTTAGGAAAGATACTTTATTAAATAGCTGTAGGAAAAAGGTTTTTTTAGTCTCAACTATTAAAAAAGTATATTTTAAATTTATCCAAATTTCCGTCTCTTCAGGGAAACAAACTACAGACCATATCTTTCCTCCTAGTTGTCCGATCTTAACGATTTTTTTTTTTTTTTTTTTTTTTTTAGGAAATTCCATAAACTTTTAAAAAACCATATCAATAATATCGACAATACCCCCAAAAAAGTGTATACTTTTAGGGTTATTTGGAATTTAATATTAACATCACTCGTAACTTTTTTCCAGCTTCTTTTCGTTGCAGTATGTTATATAGATAAATTTAAAAGGGTGTCGAGAAAATGACTTTAGCGAAGTTTCATTGAAATCGGTATATTCGTTTAGGTGCTACAGTCTATAGCAACGCAGATTTTTCTGCATTTTTTTTCTCCTTTATTAACTTATCAAATTCTTTCAAAAGTTATATTTATTTTCTCATTACTTTGAATAATTTGAAATGATTAACTTTTTAAAATAAACCATATTAAAGGTACTTTAGAGGAAGACGTATATGAACATCGAGCATTTAAGCCCTGTAAAGTGACATCAATGGGGATAAAACCTAATTGATATTAAAGACCACTTAATTATACAATGATACACAGAGTTTAATCAAAATCGTTAGAGCCGTTTTTGAGAAAATTGTGAAAATGTGTTTCAGCGTTGATATAAAATGGCACTTCTGGTTAGCCGATTTTAAGGGAAAAGTTGCCGTCACATCTAAGGCATATACATATCTTAAATACGTAATATCAGTTTCGTAGGACTTTTCGTTTTTGAGCTAGACTGCTAAACATACAAACACACAGACCATTTTTCGGGACTTGGTCATTTCGACTCAGGGTACCTCAAAACGTGTATTTCCGTTGAAAACTCAGATTCAAAAATTTTCTCGATCGCAATACTCACCCTTACTATATATTACATAAATACGTTAGTGAAAGTAAAAAAATGAAGAAACTTATGGGACATTGTAATACCTCTAGAACATCCCCTCCTCCCCTCCGTATGATAGAAATTGCGAGATTCTTTTACTTAAATTCATATTCGTGTTAGAAGTTCGAAACCCTCCTTCAATTTAATGATATGCAGAGCCCTGAATGAGACAATCTCGAGATTTTTTTAAAGGGAGTTAATGCCTTTAAAGAGAAAATCCCATGGACTTAATTTATGAACAAATATTATTTAGATCAGTATTCGTTTTGTTCAACTAAATGATGTTTCCCTTATGTTTGGGCAAATATTGTCTGTTTGAAAATGATGTTCCACCATACTGCTTTGTGGCAAGCTGTTTTTTATTGGATGCTCAATATTTGATGATAGTATATTGAGGAAATATTTTTTTAGGGTAGCGGTCATAAAAGAAACTTAAAATAGTGGAAACTATATAAAAAATATTTATTTTTAATATTAAATATTTTTAAACATATTTATTTATTTTTAATATTTATTTATGGAAAGCTCTAAATGATAATAAAATTAATTTAATTACTTAAGGAAAGTAAACTGTTTACTGAATTGAGCACGTTTTTGCAATATTTTATCAGATAATTGTTATGTAGCAACATAGCATGTCTAATCTTGTTTTCAACGCAATGACATGCGAAATATTGATTTAATAACTAAAGAAAGATTAGAAAAATAAGTCTAATGATATTTAATATTAATGTTAATATCTAAAAAAAATGCATCTTTTATACGTGGTTAACAAAACGCTAAATATTAACCTTGACCTACCAGCACATAATGATTCTTTATCAACCATTCTGTACTAATTTAAATGTACATACTAACATACAAATAAGATATATGGAAATAGCTCTTTCCTCATGCTTGACATACCATTATTTACTATAATAATCAACCCTTTTGTTGGTCGACAACAATTAATTGAGAGCTGCAAATTGATGTTTGAAGACGAAAAAACAAAGTTACTTTAAAAATTAATAAGAACATTTTTTGCTGTGTTTCATAACATTATATATTTATATAATAAATTCTTCTGGAGAACATTGTTTAGAAACGGTGTAATGGACTTCTGATGTTTATCTGTTATCTGAGTTTAAAAACTTGTCCCATATTTGCACCACTTTACCTTAGTTTAGAGATAACACTAATGCTTGACATTTACCTCTTTGGAACATAAATAGAATTTGGTGATAACCTTTTGGACAACTTAGATGATAAGAGTGTATTATTTACTGAATAATTATGGATGAAATTGGTAGGATAGGTTTCTTTGATACTTTTTATTTTTTATTAACAGTTCTTAGTGTTTAATTTAAAATTTTAATGATATATTATTTCGTGACGAAATCGTTCTCAATATATTTTTCCTTTTAACTTAAAGAAGAATGTATAGACTCTTTTTAAAGCTCTCCACACAAATTTGTTCAGGTTTAAAGCGTTCTGGTATGACAGAAAGTGATTGATAATATGACTCTTTGATTTAATGATTTTATGTACTTTGGTACACTTAAGTTTTTCCTTTAGTGCTACCCTAGTTGTGGGTATAGCAATATCTCCATGTTTCCTTGGCTATTCAATATCATTTTTTAAAAAAATCATTTACCCGTTTTTCCATCATTTTCTGTACAATATTTCGTGTTTCCTACAACAGCCACTGTTTCCAGTGATAAATTAGGAAGGATTGCTTCTCTAACCACTCAAACACATAACATTTTCTTATATAAGGAAACTTTAAAACAGCATAGCCTCCAAAAGCTTTAATTAATGGTAAAGTATCGTTTTACAATACTTTTTTAAAAATTAGGATGGGGGGCATTAGGTCTCGGGTTGCCAATCTTGGGTTAGCTATAGTTTCACAAAGTTTGTTATTCTGTTGTTTGAAGCCGTGTTGGCCGAAAATAGTAAGACTTAAAGTAAGTCACCTTTGTAACCCTGAGTTTAGCAGTGCCAGTTTGTATCTGTCCTTGATGTTTTGAAATTTATTTTATGGTGGACCTTAGGAATGAATCTCGACCTTTCCACTCTTGTTAGAATTGGAGTATGTTTAAGATAATTGATTATAAAAGTATTATTAAAAAAGAAAGGAATAACTGATATAAAATATTTTGTATTTTTTTTTTCAAAATCTGAATGTTTGTTATTGTTTTTTGTTTATTTTTCAGGTAATAGCTTCATTTTCATAAAACAAGAAAAGTGCGGTGAAACTGAGTCAACTTGTGAGTTTTCCTTTTTGAAACTTTCATAGTATCTTGTGATTATCAGTTATTATAATCTCCATAAAATAGTTGCGACCTCCTTATATTTTTGCATGATATCTACTAATCTAGTACTAGAATTAATTAATATTTAATTTACATTGATACATTTGCCTAATGGTCAGAATAAATTAATCAAATGAGTCTTAGATTGCAATTTATTGAACGTTATCATTAGAGGCTGCAGTAATTCTTTATATTTTACTGTTGCTATTTTTATTTATCACTAAATAAACACACCCACATACATATATTCACTTAATTCTATTAATTTCCAAATTTTCGTTACTTAAATTTTTGTTCTTTTTACTTTGATACATTTGCCTAAAGGTCAGAATAAATTAATCAAATGAGTCTTTCATTGCAATTTATTGAACGTTTCAGAGAATCCTCGTCCCTGCTCTTCAGTAATATTTTATTCTCCCAAAAAGGTGAGTCATAAAATTTAATACAATAAGATTGGTTCAATGGCACTTAGGTATTTAAATTAACTACCATTGAACCAATCTTATTGTATTAAATTTTGTGACACCCAATTTCTTGGGTTTAATCAAAGAAACTTTCGCAGGCCATATTGGAATTGCTTGCGCGCCTTAGTTTGGAAACCCCTGGTTTAAAGCATAAAACTTGAATGTTTTCTGTCAAGTCAGTTTTTTTTTAAGTCAATGGTTCTTTATTTTTTTTCACATTAATTTTAGAATTTATTCTGGTACTAAGATGTACTCAGTCATTTACTAATCATATATAGGAAAAAGGCATCTATTATCCAAATTAAATATGAGGCATGAGGCATAGCTAGTTATGAATATTTCTATAAGCAATATAGTTCAACTACATATTTCACTTTTAATAATTTTTTTTTAGCTTTGATGATGGAAGTTAGGCAAGAGGAAGGTCAGCAGAGTTATTATGGTGAGCCGTATTTTAAATTAATAAAATTTTATTTTGTATTATTAGGACCTTTTATAATTTCTCGCTGTTTTTTTGGGAAAAGTAATGCTTTATTTAATGTAAGTGGTGAAAAAAATGTCACATAAGAATTGCCCATCACTTGTCACTATATTCTCCCATCTTTCTGGCAGCACATGAATTTCATTTCAGAAATACCACTCATGTTTTAAGACTATCCAAGAATCTACCAATTTTTTGGTATCTTCATAAGAATAGAAGTAATGCTCAGTCAGGCTATGTGCCATCGAACGAAATAAGTGAAGGGGTGGCTATTTACCCGGCGAGTATTGCCAATAAAACAGGATTTCCCATTCAAGTGTTTTCAAGTTGGTTTTGCAAAAGCTTAGGATTATCGTCCTGTATCCATTTTTCATCTCCAGTCACAATATGTATTTGCTGTGCGATTTAAATGAAGCTTAAGTGCTCAACCGCACCTTAAACCAGCCTACCTTATCGTATTCAAAGAATTATCATGCAGTTACACACTACCAATTATAGTTTTAAAGTTTGTGTAAACAAAACTGTAATAAAATGCGAGCGTTGTGTACTAATCGTGTAAATGAAGATTTATTCCATGTTTTAGCTCAATTTCATAAAATGGAAAAAGAAATGTTTTCGTCTTTGCTTTTTTCTTTGAATGCGCCCAATGAGTTTAAGAAAATTCAGTTTCATTCAGTCAGTTTGCAGAATTTGCTTACTCTGTTTAGATGATTAATGTATTGCAAAAAAAAAAGAAAAACATAATTGTTAACACTTTTGGGAGATTTTTGAAAAAATTATATAGTTTTATTTATTTTTGTGCCATTAATCCTTGATATTCTGCATAAATGATGTATATAGAGAATAAAAATAACCATACTTTAGCTTATAAGTCATTTTATTTTTTTATTATTAACGATTGTTGTTGGATTTACATCCATGATTTTTATTATTTATAATATTTAGCATTATATCATAATTTACTTTGTATAAATAACATGGGGGCTCCCAGTCTCATCCTGTCCTACCCCCTCTCGAGGACGGCGTTATCTATGTCTAAAGTTCAGGTACTTGACTAAGCACACGGCTTTCATACTCACTTGCTCTGCTGAGTTAACAGCTTACGGCTAACAGAGAGAGAGAGGAATCACAGTCCTTCGGCTATACTCATCACAGCCCTTCGGCTACACATAAGCTGGACGTCAATTGAAACACACCGGACAAGGGCGAGGAACCGAGACAGCTTAGACGAGCCAGAGGACATCTACGGCATAGGGAGAGAGGCAACAAATCAATAGGCATGAGACTGGCCCCTTACCTTATTGTATGTTACAATTATCTACTTTAACTAACCCACTAAAATTAATTGTGCCATCAGGGAGATTAATTGGAAATAATATTAAAAGAGATTTACAAAGTAACAAGTAGCGTCATTCTCAGATATTCCTATATCAAAATTTTAATTTTTTTTTTATTTTACAAGAAAAAGGCTCCCGGTCATGTAGCATGTACCGGGCCCCCCCCCCCAATATTGTACAAGTTGTTACTTTTTATTGTGATTCTAATATGAGGGGTACGTTTGAAATGTATATGGTATTAAAGCCAACTCCCTTGCTATAGAGTTAAAACTCTACCAATGTAAATAAATAAATTAAAAATAAACGTATTTGTTGACCAATTTAAGTGCAGCAGCAGTTCAATCTCTCGACTACAGCTCATACAATTCCCAATGTTTGGATCATTCCTAATGCTTCCTAACGTTTTGAAATTAATGTGTCATCTACTAGTAATAATTTTCCAAGTTCAGCTAGCGTTTGAAATGGGTCTTCATCAAGTAATTTCTCCAATTCTTCATCTTCGAACTTGAATGTCAAAAGCGTTAAAACCAGTTTCTACATGTCGTTCAGAAATAAAACTCACATAGTGCTGGTGTTCCCATCTGATAGAAAACAGTGAGAACTTATTCAAGGTTCTTATATTTAATAGAAATCCTGTTCTAATCATGATCTACTTAAAATTAATGTTTCATTTTTATATCTGATGGTTAATTTTTATATTTTCTTATTATATCTCTTATATGAATATTGAAATGTTTTGTTTCACTGTTTTCGTTTTTAAATATAATTTTTATATTGGCAGGTGAATTAGTTCATGTGAAACAAGAAGGAGAAACATTTGTTCCAGATGATGGTGAGGAATATTCATCTTATTTTTACTTTTAAATGAACATAATAGAAAAAAAAAAATATATTATTGTTTTAGTTTTTAAATCTTATTTAATATGTCGTTTCTTTCTAACTTTTTCTCCTGAATTTCTTCAAGAACCCATTACATACTGATTTTCAGTTATCCAGAGTAGTTCTGGTGTTGTTCTAGTTGTATTCCAGTGTTCTGCTGTATTTTTTTTTTTTTTTTTATTTATGACATTTACAACTGTATTAATAAATAAAATACATTTAGTAAATTTGATAACAGAAAATAATAAGATGAAATCACTTGTTGAGAAACTACCCACTGGTAGCACTCAAAAAAAAAAAAATGTATTTACAATAGCAGATCTCGAGGCCATCTTCTTTTCAGACGACTCGGAGGATTATGAGGGATAGAAGAGGAAGCAAGGTTAGAGACGAGAGGATTCGGATGGTTCTGAAGTTTTTTATGGAAGGAAAGGTATCTGGATTGGGTCCAATCGGAAACATAAGGAACATTAAGGTCGTTATGGATTATTTTATTGGTGACAAAGTAAGGAGCATTAAGGATTTTGGATTGTAAGGATTGGATACGAGAGGAATTCGATGGCTTAGTGGAGCCCCAAAGCTCAACACTGAAGTCCAAATAGGTCTTATTGTAGCCATGTATATGAGTCTTTTGTAGTAGTCAGAAACGTCGAGCGGTTTCTGGTTGGGTATGAGGGTTCCTAGCTAGACGTTTGTCCAAGTGGAGTCCAAGGTATCGGATTTGTTCAACAGGTGTAAGTGGGGTATTATTAAAGGATACTGTAGGACAGGAGGTCATAGGTTTACGGCGATTCTGCTGTATTTAATTATTAAATTAAATATGAAACTATTTAATTTCGACCTTCTAGAAAATTTTGGAATGTTTTGAAACTTATAAAGTTTATATAAATTATAGTTTTCAAATAAATTAAATACTCATAAAAGGTTAGGCATTTAAAACTTCCTTGTTTTATTATTTAACTCAGGGGTCTCCAAACTTTTTGGTACCTCCACAAAGTTCCGTGGGCTGCATCGAGACCTCCAAGAATACTGATACTGATCATATATTCATTTTTAAAAATTGTAGTTATTATATTTTTTTTTTTTATTATATTAAAGTTTATGACTATCATTCTCACTTGCTTCATTTTGTTCAATTTGGTAGTTAAAGTTTATTCCAGCTTATATACCATATATATACACATTGTCAGATAAGTGGGCCACTTAAGCTTTTTTCGCCAAAACATTTGTATATTATATACCAGTTCTTAAACAAATAAAAATACCCACAATGAAATATAAATAAATATTGCGGCCTTCTTTATTCTTTATCGCTCTTGTCTGACTAAAAATATTCTATGACACTTAATTATTTATTATAATTAAATAAATAATTGAAATATATGATCGTAAAAGGAAATGGCTGGTGTCAAACAAAATAAATATAATACACTAGACGGTTATGAAAAACATTTGGTAATTAATTGTTTAAAATAATATTATAATTTTTACTTTCACTTCCCGTTGTCTGAAAATAATTATTTCTGCTAAGAAGACGGTGTGAAATTTGTGTGATTCGCACACCACACCAGATTTTTTTTTACTGATTTTAATTAAGCAATTAAATAAATAATTAGTTAAGTGCAAGCTTATATATTAGATTGCAAGCTTGTTGTTTTTCTATTGTTTAATATGTTCTGATGTTGAAAATTAATTATTTTCATTTCCATCATCTGAACATATAATTTTAGAGACTGTTTAATTTCAACCTTCAAAAAATGTTTGGAATGTTTTTGAAAACTATTAAGTTTATTTAAACTGTATTTCTTATATAAACTGAACATTTATCATCCTTTTCATTTATATTTTTAGATATTGATGATTCTGGTTGTCCTATAAAGGAAGAAAAGATTAACGAAACTGATTCTGATGGTGAGATTTTTTTTTTTCGTGTCATTATAGAACTAAATAAGAAATAAGTCTGAATGGACTAGTCAAGGCAAAAATTGACATATACAGTGAAGCTTCCCGTTGCGAACTATTCTCTAAATTTATAAATGACTTCTGTGTAAAAGACATTCTTTATAATGGATGTAGACATGATTGATATATAATGATTTTGAATATTTTCTTCAAAACAGACAGTAGAAAACCACTGAGGCTCATATTCCGAGAACGTTTATCTAATTTATTGTATCTTAATCCATCATTGATAATGAACCTCCAATGAAAATGGAAGAAGCTCTATCACAAATTAGTCAAGCGAATACATTTCTTTCGAAATATGACTATGAAGGAGTTTTCCTGATTTTATCTATCCAAGCAAATTGAGAAAATAGAAAATAGTTATGCACCAAAAAGTTCATAGGAAAAATACAAATTACTAATTTAAGTAATTTAAAATTATTAAAGTTTACATTTTATATGTATACTTTTAATATTTTTAAAATATATTATTTCTCATGAAAATATACATTAATGGTAAATTTGCAAATAAGTATTTTAAATCGCTCATTTTCATATCTTATAAAATTATTTTTTATGGTTTTATTTATCATATTTAACTTCCAGTTTCTCTAAAACGGACATTTCTCTGTAGCGGACAAAATTTCATTTCCCATAGGTGTTCGTCACCGATATTTTTTACTGTATAGATTTGTTTAAAATTATTTTTTATTGATTAAAATTTATTTTTTTATTACAGATAGATAGATAGAAAATAAAGTTTATTTTGGGACAAGGTCCCTTAAGAATAACAATTATGAACAAAAAAAAACAAAAAATAACTGGTCAAAAACTACATTAATGAAAATTAAATTGTATATATCTCCATATTTTCAGCACTAGTAGATCCAGGATTTGATTTTGGGAGAGAGGCTTCAGCCCGAAAGCTTTTCATAAAAATAACGATAATTAATTTGGAAAAAAAGAAAGAAACTAACTACCTATATGAAATGGTGTTTAAGTGATTCTTAAAGTCCTTTTAAATGTAATTACACGAACAATAATACTTTAAGAGATAATTTTTTTCCATAAAACATGGTCATATTTTACCATTTTGGGGGGAGGGCTTCAGCCCCAAAGCCCTCTCGTAGATCCGACAGTGATTTTCAGTGATAATATATAAACAATAAAAAGTAAAAACATTTTTAAAAAAACAAACATTTAAAATGAAGAAAAGAATAAATAAGGTAAAATAAAAAACAGAACGTTATTAAGATAATGAGTTGATTTTTAAAATTAAAACTTAAACAACCATTCACTTCAATCGAAATTCAATTGATAAACTTTGTTTCATTGATCAAAGTTTGTTTCATGATTGTAGAGCATCATTTTGGGATGTGAAAAGGAATTTATAAAGAAGGTGTTTGAATGTGGACAAGGTAGAGGCATGGTGGATTTCAGAAGGCGAGGAATTCCAGAAGGCAGTGGATCAGGCAATAAAGGAATGTTCAAATGTTTCAGTTCTATGGGAAGGGATATAAAGGTTGGAAACACGGGATCTTGTATTTTGTGAGTGGACAATGCATTTGGATTGTAAAAGACTGTAGGTGTAGGAAGGGTGCCGGAAGTTGATCGTTTGGTAGATAAGGTAAAATCCTAGAAAATATTGTCATCGAAAAGAAGGGAAGAGCCACCTTAACTCTTCTTAAAGGTGGGACAAATGTGATCTCCTCAAAGTACCGAAGAGAAATCTTAAGAAGAAGTTTATGAGTCTTTTCAATTTGTCCACGAGTATGATCAGGATGCCACCATACACCACACAGCCGTAGCGAAAATGGGGAAAATAAGAGAGAAAACAAAGAGCTTGCGCATAGGTTGTGGAAGCAGATGAAATAACTTAAATAACTATTGACCTTCGGGAAATGAGGGTGGTATGGGGTTTCCAGGAGAGTTTTTCGTCTATGGTGATTCCTAGGTTTTTAACGGAGGAGCTGATTGTGACAAGATGATCGTTGATGACTAAAGGAGGAAGATAGGACTTGAATTTAAGGAGAGAACTAGAACCTATAACAATGTTCTGAGTTTTCATCAAAATTTAGACTAAAATTATTCAAGCTTGCCCAGGCACTGATCCTATCTAGATCTGCCTGTATATTGATGAATGCAACTAATACCTCAGAATGGTTAAAGGATAAATAGATTTGGAAATCGTGAGTATATATAGATAGTTTGAACAGTGGTAGATGGAATTGGGAAGATAATTTATAAAGCAATTAAAACAGAGAGAGAAAATACTCGAATCCTGGTCCACTCCAGAGGACAGCGTAAGGAAGGAAAGACCGAAACCATAGAATAGAGCTGTTGGAGAAGGATAGAGATTTTAATTTTATGTAAGTAGAGGATAGAGTGGTCTAAGGAGTCAAAAACTTTGGAAAAGTCAAGAAGTATAAATACAAAAACATTTCAATCTTCTTGATGTTTTCTCTATCCAAGGTTTTTAGAAATTTCACCTCTTCCTCCTGTGCTAATTCATATTGTCCTTCTTTCCTATATTCCCTGCATCTAAACATACTGTGCCGTGGGTTTTATGGCGCTTTACAATCTTCAAAATTGCTGTTCTTTTCAATTTGCATAAGATTAATTATGTTCATATTCCATCATCGGAAAATAAAATTTTAGAGACTATTTAATTTCAACCTTCAAGAAAATTTTGGAATTTTTTGAAAACTTTAAGCTGTATTTTTTAAGTAACTTGAATATTTATAATTCTTTTCATTTTCAGATATTGATGATTCTGATTATTCTATAAAGGAAGAAAACACAAATGAATCTCATTCTGATGGTAGGTTTTTGGTTTTTTCTTTCATTTTTCAACAACTTGAAATGTCATAACATTGTATTATAGAATGTTTATTCTTCATAATTAAAAGAGAAAAAAAAGTTGATATAATTAATTCATTAATTTTATCTTTTTTAATGGTTATATTTATTGTTCACAGGAGTCGATTCGCCGGAAAACACACAACTCAGCCAGAGTGGCATAAATATGAAGTTGAATATGGATTCCGGCAAACTATCAAAAGTCACTAGTAATTCCTTGGAGTTAGGTTCACAAACAATTGAATCTCTTGAATTAAATAAAAATTTACAACATCAAGAGAGACCAGAAAAATGTTATGAATGTCCTCATTGTGACTACAAAGCCTCAAAGAATTATATCTTAAATAAACATATAATGACCCATCATAAAGGTGAGAAACCTCATCAGTGTCCTAATTGTGATTATAAAGCTACAGAAATTCATCAATTAAAAGCACATATAAAGCACCGTCATACGGGAGAGAAGCCTTTTCAATGTCCTGATTGTGATTACAAAGCGGTAACTATTAGTATGATAAAAAGGCATATAAAGTACCGCCATACTGGTGAAAAGCCTCATAAATGTCCTCATTGCGACTATAAAGCAGTAAGAAATAGTACAATCAAAATACACGTTAAGGCTTGTCATACAGGTGAAAGAACTCATCATTGTCCATACTGTGCCTATAAATCAGTTACAATCAGGAATTTAAAATTACATATAATGAGCCTTCATACAGGGGAGAGGCCTCATCAATGTCCTCAGTGTGACCACAAGGCAATTACAATTAGTAATCTGAAAAGACATATATTCAGCCGTCATACAAATGGCAAACCCCATCAATGTCCCTTTTGTGACTACAAAGCAGTAGCAATTACTTCAATAAACATACATGTGATGGCATGTCATACCGGAGAAAAATCACATCATTGTCCTCATTGTGACTATAAAGGTGTAACAGTTGGAAATTTGAAAATCCATATAAAGTATAATCATACAGGTGAGAAGCCTCATCAATGCCCTCATTGTGAATATAGAGCAGCAGAAGTTACTAATTTAAATAAACATATAAAGGCACAACATACAGATGATAAACCACATCAGTGTCCACATTGTGACCATAAAGCAGCAGAAATCGGTAATTTAAAAAGGCATATAAAATCCCGTCATACTGGTGAGAGGCCTCATCATTGTCCTCATTGTGATTATAAAGCTGTTCAAATTATACATTTAAAAAGGCATATAATGGTTCGTCATACAGGTGAGAAGCCTCATCAATGTTCTCATTGTAACTATAAAACAGCAGAAATTAGTAATTTAAAAAGACACGTAGTAGCTCGTCATCCGGGTATGAATCCCCATCAGTATCCTTCATCATAAATAAAGCTGTGCCTTATAGTCATTCAATGATATGTGCTAAGTCCTGGCACACATGAGACATTTCTCTATTCTTTGTATCCTGAATAGATGGTACAAGGAGAAACCCGAAAGTTTCGTAGAGGAACTGTGGTGGGTAGGATGAGTGGGAAAACCAGTTCTTTGAGAGAATTCCCATCAGTATCCTTTATCATAAATAAAGCTGTGCCTTATAGTCATTCAATGATATGTGCTAAGTCCTGGCACACATGAGACATTTCTCTATTCTTTGTATCCTGAACAGATGGTACAAGGAGAAACCCGAAAGTTTCGTAGAGAAACTGTGGTGGGTAGAATGAGTTGGGAATCAAGTTCTTTGAGGAAACTCCTCTGATTCAGAGTTTGAAGTTATGTTGCTGTGAGTGCATCCATTTGCCCATGAGAGTGTTTTTAGTAAAACAAATTTACTAACTGATTCTGACCGCTAATAGCAAAACACATAGCTGTAAAATTTTGTTTTATGTTGGGAAAAGCGCTCATGAAAACTCTTGTAATGCTTAAAACAGCTTGTGGAGATGATTTCCTTAGTATAACACCTGTTTATGAATGTTTTTCAAGTTTTTAGAATGTAGATACGTCGATTGAAGGCCTACTTCATTCAGGGCACCCCTTAATTTCAAGAACTGACAATAACATTGAAAAAAATCAATGTCCTTATTAGTGAAGACTCCCTGATCCATTGATCAATTCTCTGAGATGTCTGGCATGTATGGATCATAGTGGAATGTCAAGAGAATGTTCATTTGTTTCTTCAATTGCTGATGTGTTATGCACTCGTGAGTTTGTTCCACCATGCCAAACGGTCAATCAGCAAATATATCTGGTTTTGAAGAGATTGAGGGAAAATATCCAAAAGAAAATGGCGGATGTTTGGCGCATAGGGATTGGTTCTTTCACCACAACAATGCACCTGCCCTTACAATGCTGTCTGTGAAACAGGTTTTGACCAAAAATGGCATGACACTGATTGTTAACCCCCTATTTATCAGACCTAGCCCCTCATGACTTCTTTTTATTCTCTAGACTCAGAAGAAACTACTATGGCTCTCTGATCCACCATTCGAAGACCAGCTTCAGACGTTACAATTCGGAGTTCCCACCTAGATGTTGGCCAGTGCAGTCTCAAGTGATAAGATCCAGCTCAAGAGTTGTGCAGCATAAAACATATATGATCAGCTACCAGTGTAGAATAAAACGACTCAATTATTCACAAAAAACAAAACAATCAGTATTCTATTTTTATTTATTAAATTATTCATTTATTATATTTATGTATTTTGTTTTTGATTTTAAATATATGATTAAATGTATCAATGTTGTTTAGATACCGACTTATTCACAGTTACTGAACCATTAAGCTCACAGCATCAATATTAATTATTCAAATATAATTTGACAAGTGACTCTTGACGATGGCAATCTCTCACAACAGTCAACTCTAATTATTTTTATTATATGAGAAGGAGTTGATGGGGGGAAGGGGGTGCGATCAAATTTATACTAAATTAAATAAGTAGAATTATTTAATTCTATTTATTATTATACTTATTTAATTTAGTATTAATTTGACCGCACCCCCCGATCAACTCCTTCTCATATTATATCAACGGTCAACCATCTCTACATCATTATTTGTATTATATAATTGAAGCATCGCCTAAATGATGAAATGATATCTTTTTGCTTTTATTATTCTTCGTTGTTGTAGAGATCTCTACCATTTAAAATAATTCATTTGTTCGTTTTACAAATACAGTCGCTTTTTTGCTTACTGTTTCATTATCGCCACCAAATGAAAAAACAAATTAGAAAAAATTAATTATGAAGCTGTATGCTAAAATTGTCTTACCAGAACGACATTATAAAAGGTGAAAATGGTTTTGAGTGAAGCATGACCCTCAAGTGAAGGAAACGTTCCCAGTGTCAACAATGAGATTTCTTTGAGCCAATTAATTATTTCAATAAGTTTTTTCCTGATATTTGTTTTATTACTTATGTTTATTTATATTCTATACAATAAATAACTCATTTATTAACATTAAATAATATTTTGCTCCCATACCACCGCATAAAAAGTTCTTTTTAAATTGCTTTTTGGCAAACTGACTTCTATATCTTTATTAATTATATTGTTGAAATGAAAAAATAATTTTATTCTGGGACTACAGTCCCCTAAGAATAATAACAGAGCTACAAATTTATGGGTCTTAGCCTGGCTTAGAAGAATAAAAACTAATAAAACTGTTGATTGTTATGGCAATTGTGCAGTTGATTGAATTAAACAGTATACAGGTGCAAGTAATTTTACATATTTGGGGAAGTTTGAATGTGGAGTAGGTGGTGGAACAGGAGTTGTTTGAAGGAATTTGTGGACAGGGATTGACATGGAAGGAAATGTATAAATCTATGGGTTGAGACCTGCTATTAAGAGAGTGGATAGAGGAATGTAGACTAAGGAGTTCCAGGATGTAGGGAGGTTTGTTGTTTGTTTCGATGTCTAGGCGCAAAACATCCAGGTCATAAGCGCCCGATCAACTAAGTAACATCATTTAATACTATTTGGATGATTGGTGCAAAAAAAAAAATAAATAAATAAAATAAAAAAATAAATAAATAGAATAAAATAAAATAAATAAAGAAATGGATTGATAGAATAAAATAAATAAATAAGGATAATAATAGACATTTATAGGTAATAAGATGTATAAAAAATGTATAAATAAATAAACTTTAAAAAATAGCAGTAGAATCAATAAAATAAATAAATAAATAAAAAAATAAATAAAATTAAATAAATAAATTAAAAAAAAATAATAAAAATAAATAAATAAATAAAAGCCTGTCAAATGTGTTTTTTAAGTCTTTCACTATCCATAAACTTGATGACTTTGGTAACCATTTCTTCTTGATTTCCCAGGGATGCTGATATATTCTGGGGTATTCCAAAATCTTTTAATCTTGCGGTGTAAAAAGGGCATTCTTCCAAAATATGTTTTACAGTTAGTGATTGGTTACACTTTTGACATCGGGGGATAGAATCTTTTGTTATGAGGTGGAGGTGAGTCAGTCTAGTATGTCCGATCCTCAGCCGCGTGAGGACGACCTCTTCTCTACGACTGCTGCGTCTGGAGCTGGTCCACGGTTGCACCTCTTTCTTTATTGTTTTTAATTTGCTAGGTGCGCTGATGTCCCACCGTCTTTGCCATTCTTGGAATATGGTTTCTCTCAGAGGTCGTGCAAGTTCAGATGGTGTCAAAAAAACTTTACCGCGGCCTGGAAGAGTAAGAGCTTCCTTTGCTGCTCTATCAGCCATTTCATTTCCTTTAATTCCTATATGGCCAGGCGACCAGATAAAATGTGCCGTTGTTCCAACTCCATGAAGCATTTTTATAAGACTTAGAATGCAGTGTATCCCTGGATGGTCTGGATACATGTTATTCATAGCTTTCAGGGTACTTAGGGAATCCGATACAACAACCACATTTGCAACTGGCTTCTTCATGACGTATCGGAGACTCATTGCTACGGCGTTAATCTCTGCTGTGTAAACACTACAAAGATGGTGTAATTTATATTTGTAGGTAGTATCAGGAGTGACAAAGGCTGAAGCAGTAGATGTATCTGATTTGGATCCGTCGGTGAATATTAGAAGATGTTCAGGTAACGTGATGATTATTTTTTGGAATTTTTCTTTGTAATCTGCAGGTAATGTAGTATCTTTGGTGAATTGGGTGAGTTGGAGATTTAATTTAGGTTGTATATAGGTCCAAGGGGCTGTTTCTTTTTCTATTTCATGTAATGTTATTTGTTTTAGTTTATTTATAATAAGAGACATTCTTTCTGCCAATGGTAATGTGGTATTCCTTTTTTCTTTAAATCTTTTTGAGAATTTAGATTGAAAAACATATTTATGGGAGGGGTGTGAAGTTTGCGGGTATAATTTAGTAATATAGTTTATTGCAAGTTTCTGTCTTCTAAAGTGCAGTGGTATAAGGCCAGATTCGACACAAATGCTCAGGGTTGGGCTTGTTCTAAAGGCTCCAGTTGCAAGGCGTATTCCAGTGTGGTGCACGGAGTCGAGCTTGGCTAGAGCATTTTTTCGGGCAGACCCGTAGACAAAACTACCATAATCTATTTTTGCGCCGATCAGAGCTTGGTATACTTTAATCATGGTAGTTCTGTCTGCTCCCCAGTTAGTTCCACTAAGTATTCTCAGAAGCTGAAGTTTTTTAGTACATGTATCTTTGAGTGATTTTATGTGGTGTTCCCAGGATAGACGTTTATCAAATAATAATCCCAAGAATCTGCAGGTGGTGACATATGGTAAGATGGCGTCACCTAAGAGAAGTTCTGGCGATTGTGGAGTATTTCGTTTTCTGCTATAGTGAATACATTTAGTTTTTTCAGAAGAGAAACAAAGTCCCGATGATTTCGACCAGCCATCAATACGATTCAGTGCTTCTTGGAGCTTATCTTTTACAGATAGGACATCTTTCGCTCTGTATAGAATAGCAAGATCGTCGACAAAGAGCATTACTTTGATTCCGCGTGGAAGATTTTTTCCCAAGTCACTAACCGCCAGTGCGAAAAGTGTTGTACTTAAAACGCATCCTTGTGGTACTCCACTCACTTGTCTACATTGCTTGGATAACAGTTTCCCTATACGGACGCGAAAGCGGCGACTAGAAAGGAATCCTTGAATAAATTTTGGTAAGTTACCTCTGAATCCTAGCGAGTGTATTTTGTTTAGGATAGCAAATTTGTCAGTTTTATCGAAGGCTTTTTTCATATCGAAGTAAACTGCAATAGCTTGCTCCTCTTGGATGAATGCATACTGTAATTCGGCTTCCATTTGAACCAGGTGGTCTACAGTTGATCTGCCTTTGCGAAAACCACATTGGAAGTTTTGGATGAGATGATATTTTTCTAGGATCCATGTGAGTCTCTTGTTTACCATTCGTTCCATTACTTTGCATAGACAGCTGGTTAAAAATATTGGTCGGTAGCTGGATGGATGACGTTTATCTTGACTACCCTTCAATATTGGGACAACTATAGAGTCGTTCCAGCTGCTAGGAAAGTTACCGCTAAGCCAAATATGATTGTAAAAATTTAAAAGCCAGTTCAGTGTATTTTTCGGAAGATGTTGTATCATGGAGTAGTGTACATTATCTGGTCCTGGTGAAGATCCTTTGACAGTTTGGAGTATTGATTGGAGTTCCCACATGCTGAATGGAATGTTGTAATCTTGATATGCATTATCG